TAGCCATTTGCAGCTCTGGAAGTATTGGCAGAAGTTTCCGGGGTGAATTCCAGCGCTGGCAACTGTCTCCTGGAAAGTGTGAAGAAGCACCGGTCTTAGCAAATCAGTTTTCTGTAAGTTTAACTGGGCTTGTATTTGTGGTACGATAATCACCTTGTTTGATGGAAGAGCAACTAGGTTGTTGGAGGTTGCTTGTTTTAGAATAGGGAAACTGCTGACTGGGATGAAACTTTTCATTAAAAAAATGCTTTAAAACGTTGGAGCTTGCTTGACATTTGAATTAACTGTCAGTGTCACAAATGCAAATTTTTTATATTTATTTGAACAGATAAGTAATGATATTCATGAAAAAGTGCTTATGTGGATGCTTGACTACAGGTGACGTTTATTGAATTTACAAACGTTGTGTCATTTTGTGTGCATCTGAGATCCGGGGTGTACTGCAGACGTTCCCTTATAAATTATAATTGGTTACTTTCCTTTATTATTTAAATTATTGGCAAAGTGATAAGCAAAGTTTACTTTTGTATGCAGGCTTTTGTATCTCGTTCCAATGGCCATAAGCACTCCTGTGTGTTGTGTCCAAGAACTCCTGATATGATAATGTAAAAGAATTTGTTCCTTTATCGGTCACCATTCTCCAATTCTGCTTGTTATTTCTGTTATGCACTTTGAGTTTTATTAATGTGGTCATAGAACAATTCCTGAAGAAGCAAAAGCTGTAAAAACTTACAAAATGCCCTATGCATACTCAGAGATCCTGCAGTTTCAGGGATTGGGTCATGGGACTGGAATCTGAAGGGTGATAAGTCTACATATCATGCCTTGTACCCGAGGGCATGGACGGAATATGCGGGTAAGTGACCCAAATAGGTCCGATGCCCATAATCTGTGACCCTGACGGTCAAGTGTAGATTGTTTTATCTCCACTCACGTTGCTTCTTAATACAGGCGAACCTGATCCAGAACTGAAAATAGTTTGTCGCCAGCTTTCTCCCATCATTCCTCATAACTACAAGGAGAGTAGCTATCCGGTTTCCATTTTCACTTTCACGGTAGGAACAAAGCGTTAGAAGTTCAATTGTTTCTAAGAAGCGTTTCCTAGTCTTCGTTTGACAAGCTGGTTTTCTGCAGATCCATAATTCAGGGCAAACTGCTGCTGATGTCTCTCTGCTTTTTACATGGGCAGTAAGTCTTTCTTTCTCACTTTCTAATATTTCCTCCACTTTCAAGCTCATGCTAAATATGTTGTTACGCTAATTTTACCCGGAACCCTTTTTTTATTTTATTTTATTTTATATGAACTTTTACCCAGAACTCTGTGGGTGGTGATTCTGGATCTTCTGGACAACATGTTAATTCCACTGTAATGTAAGAAAAGTGAGGATTAATAAAATCAATGTTATCTATGTCCCTATTATTTCCTACAATTATGTGCACTAACAATCATGATCACCATAACTCACAGGAAGGAGGATGGTGTACATTGTGTACTTCTACACCACAGGTATTTACATAATTCCTTGCTTGAGAAGAAGTTTCAATAGATTTCTGGTTTTCTTTCACAGAGAAAATATGAAAATTTAGTTCTCGTTATAGGACAGCTAGCAATTCCTCCCCAATGACCTTTGCCATTGCTGCTCAAGAGAGCACGGATGTCCACATTTCGGAGTGCCCTTGCTTTGTGATAACCGGCAACTCCGAAGGTGTATCTGCAAAGGATATGTGGGATGAAATCAAAGAGGTTAGTTGATTGATTTCTCTTCTCGAAATCTTTTAGTATGCATTTAATGGTAATTTCCAAATGGCTTTTGTTCTGAACAGCATGGATCATTCGACAACCTTAAACCTGCTGGAGTCTCTAGGCCTTCCGAACCGGGATCGTCTATTGGGGCAGCCATTGCAGCCACAGTAACAGTTCCACCTACTGAAGCTCGTACTGTTACTTTCACATTATCTTGGGATTGCCCTGAAGCAAATTTTTTGGGGGGAAGGACATATCACAGGTAGGTTTTTTGAGTTCTTGTAGCTGAAGTAAAGGTAAACTCATCTGATAATGTGGACTATTTTCCACAGACGTTACACAAAGTTTTTTGGTACTCATGGGAATGCTGCTGCGAATATCGCACATGATGCCATTCTAAGTAAGGATCTATGCATTTTTCTCTTTATTTTGGTTATTTCCTTATATGGATGCCTGGCTCCGGGTTCTCACGTGTTCTGTTTATCCTGTAATTAGATCATACTCATTGGGAATCCCAAATAGAAGACTGGCAAAGACCAATTCTTGAAGATAAAACATATCCTGAATGGTAAAGTTTATTCGTCTACACACATATGATTGTATATATCCATTCCTGTAGCAGATAATGGAAATATTCATTTTGCAGGTACCCTATTACTCTTTTTAATGAACTATATTATCTTAATGCTGGGAGCACAGTGTGGACAGGTATGTGGAAACTCAGAGCTGTTTCTTTGTCTACTTACCTTGAATCTAATTTTGACATATATGATTTTCCAGATGGATCACCTCCAGTCCATAGTTTAGAATCACTTGGGAATCGGAAGTTCTCACTTGATAGTCCAGGAGACGGTTTGAAGAGCCTTGTTGAAGAAACAAATGAAAAAAGTGTTACTGCTGTTTCTATTCTCGAGAGTGTGACTTCACAACTACACCAGATTCAGACTCCGCTCGCATCTAACTCTGCCTTCGGGACCAATTTGCTACAAGAGGGAGAAGAAAACATTGGTCAATTTCTGTACCTCGAAGGGATTGAGTATACCATGTGGAATACCTACGATGTTCATTTCTATTCATCGTTCGCACTCATAATGCTGTTTCCCAAAATTCAACTGAGTGTCCAGAGGGACTTTGCTGCAGCAGTTATGATGCACGATCCCACCAAAATGCTGCTCCTTCATGATGGCCAGTTGGCTTCTAGAAAGGCTCTTGGTGCAGTTCCTCACGATATTGGGCTCCATGATCCATGGGTTGAAGTGAATGCTTATTGCCTTTATGACACGGATCATTGGAAGGACTTGAACCCCAAGTTTGTGCTCCAGGTTTACAGGGATGTGGTTGCCACGGGTGATAAGAAGTTTGCACAAGCGGTTTGGCCCTCGGTTTATATGGCCATGGCGTTCATGGACCAGTATGACAAAGATCGAGATGGGATGATTGAGAATGAAGGGTTTCCTGATCAGACATATGATACTTGGTCCGTGTCTGGTGTTAGTGCCTACAGTGGTGGGCTGTGGGTTGCTGCATTGCAGGCTGCATCAGCATTGGCACGTGAAGTAGGCGACAAGGGCTCCGAAGAGTATTTCTGGTATAAGTTTCAGAAGGCGAAGTCTGTGTATGAAAAGCTGTGGAATGGTTCGTACTTCGATTATGACAACAGTGGTGGTAGGAATAGTAAATCCATCCAAGCTGATCAACTAGCTGGACAGTGGTAAGTATGTTCATGCAAATTTCTTGAAATATCATTTTGCATATTAAGCATCTCAGTGATTGACAATTTTTTCGCCTCCCATTTTCTCAGGTATGCGCGAGCATGTGGGCTTCATCCAATAGTTGACAAAGACAAGGCACAGAGTGCACTGGAAACAGTTTTCAACTTCAACGTGATGAAGGTGAAGGACGGGAAACGTGGGGCTGTCAACGGAATGTTGCCCGATGGGAAAGTTGACATGTCGACGATGCAGTCAAGAGAGATCTGGTCCGGGGTCACGTATGCAGTTGCTGCAACAATGATCCAAGAGGGTATGGTGGATATGGGATTCCAGACTGCCAGTGGAATTTATGAGACTTCATGGTCCGAGAGAGGACTTGGGTAAGTAACACTTTTGCTTAATTTGTTAGTTGCCATTCTGTTACCTTCATAACCAAAACATGAGCTCTTAACACATTGTCTGTATGCAATGTGGACGTACAGTTACGGTTTTCAAACTCCAGAAGGTTGGAACACCGACGATCAGTACAGGTCACTTTGCTACATGAGGCCATTGGCCATTTGGGCAATGCAGTGGGCACTGACGAGACCAAAACTCAACCAGCTAGAGCCGAGATCACCGCTCGCTATGCAAGATTACCCGTTTGCAGAGGATGCTGGATTTGCTAAGGTTGCTCGTTTCCTGAAGTTGCCCGAGTCGCATCAACCCAAAAGCCTTTTCCAGACTGTGTATGATTATGCTTCCAAGAAGCTGGGATACTGATTCATGCAGTACAGAAACAGTTTCTTATTCTTTGTTTATGCTAGGCCTCTCATACTGTCAACAATATGAATTCTTGCTTTGGTATTGATGCCTCTTTTCATCAAGCTTCAGTACTAGAAGTTGATTTAAGCAAAGTCCTCGATAGTGTCCTTCTCAGTGAATGAATGGAAAATAGTCTGTGCTTTAAACATTTTGCTAGCTCCACCAGCCTCATCATTTGATGGACAATATCAGTTTCATAACCCAAAACTCGCACCCAATCCAAGAGAGGGGGTTCCAGTTCCACAAAAGATGGAACGGGTCAGGTTGAACGGGTGGATCAGTTCAGGTTGAACAGGTGTGCCGAGTTACAGTTATTTTTGTTCACCTCTACAGACTACAGCTTATATGTCATCGATGCATGTTCCTGCTACATCCATCATTTTCCCCCCTCAATGAACAGCTGCCATTAGGGATATATATGTTTACCGTTGTTTCCTTTTCTTAACGCATACAAACTGTTAGTAAGGATCTGTTTTTCGAAGACTACAGATTATCAAGCATTTGGTTTGTTGAATTTGTTGTGGTCATCAATGGTAAAGCGAACAATGTGGCAAGACATGTGGCGGAATAAATGCCACAACTCAATGGTCAATGCCTCCGACACTCACTGCTATTTTTATCATATCATGACATGGAGTTCTAACAGTTCAACAGCAGTGTACGTACGTCGGCCATTTGGGCTTCAGATGCATCTATATAAGGCTATAGCTATCCCCATAAGCTAATCGAACGCGACAATAGACAAAATGGGGGCTATGAATCCTCACCATCAGCAGAGCTGCCTAGTACTGCTGTTATGCGCTATTATTCCAATCTGCTGCATATTTGCAGTAGAAGCTACAGTGGATGATCTACTGCCCTTCAAATTTGGCCAAAACATCCCGAAAAGAAGCGATTTCCCACCAGATTTTCTCTTTGGCGCTGCGACTTCAGCTTATCAGGTACGTGCGCTATACATTGTTTAAGATGTGATTGGCTGATTGCAGTGAATGTTGACACCAATGTTCGTTAATATTCGTGTTGTGATGATGACCAGACTGAAGGTGCAGCAATGGAAGACGGCAGAGGGCAGAGCATATGGGACGCTTTCAGCCATCAGCATCCAGGTTTGTACATAAACACAGTATCATCATCAGATAAGAGCCACGGAAAAAAATCAATTACTGTTCTTGTATGTAAAAATTATGATGGCAGAGAAAATAGCGGATGGGAGCAACGGAGACGTTGCTGCTGACTCTTATAATTTCTATAAGGTATGAATTCAGCTGATCTGATCTGATCAGCCACAAATTAATTGAGAGTTTCATATATCAAACTTGCCCATTCAGTTTTCTAACTTGTGATGATGACATATGAATGTGCAGAAAGACATAGCCTTCATGAAGGAGAGTGGGATGAAAGCCTACAGATTCTCAATCTCATGGACTCGAATATTGCCTAGTAAGTGAACCAGCTAGTTAATGAGTTCATTAGCTGTTTGGTTATTCACTAATTGATCCATTGATCATTAAGCACGTTGCATATAATTTAACTATCAACCTGTGTCACTGCTCACAGATGGGAAGCTCAGCGGGCGTGTAAACCAGAAAGGAGTTCAACATTACAACGATGTCATCAACGAGGTTATAGCTCAAGGTCGGACACACACACGCACACACAGAGCTCAAATTCCTTCTTCCCTATCATTCGATTTGCATTACAAACCACACTCTACAACATAGAAAACAATGCTAGCCTCGTATCTATCGAAAAGATCAACAGGTTCTAAATTTCGTTTCCTTTCGTTTTTTCGTTTACAGGCCTAACTCCCTTCGTTACGCTCTTCCATTTCGATACTCCTCAAGCATTGGAGGACGAATACGGCGGATTTTTGAGTAACAAGATTGCGTGAGTGGCAAGAAATATAAATAGGAATTGGATAGACAATGAGTACATCAATTATTGGAAATGCTGCACTAATAATGATAATGATCTGTTCTATATCTGACCACAGGAATGACTTCCGAGACTTTGCTGATGTGTGCTTCAAAGAGTACGGGGACAGAGTGAAGCACTGGATCACATTGAACGAGCCGCTCACCTACTGCCGGGAGGGCTACGCCTCCGGCGGCATGGCTCCCGGCAGATGCACCACCACTGATGAGTTCAAGTGCGACCGTGGAGACTCGGCGACCGAACCTTACATAGCCGGCCACAACCAGCTTCTCGCCCATGCCGCCGCAGTTGCCTTGTACCGACAGAAGTACCAGGTCCGTCTCTCTCTCTCTGCTTTCACATTCAGATTTCGTCAGAAACTGTATCAATTGTGCATCTATCTACGGTACCTTGCGTTTAAACAGGCAACTCAAAAGGGCATGATTACAATCACATTGAACTCAGATTGGTTTATTCCTTACACCTCAAGCAAGCAGGACGCAGATGCTGCACAGAGAGCCCTTGATTTTAACTTTGGATGGTAAGAACCGAGTTAAATACTTGAAGTTGTTAATTGTGTACATTGATTGCTGGTTTGGGACATCGATTGATAAGGCTAATGATTAATTAATTTTGTTAATCAGGTTTATGGACCCGATTACTACCGGAGATTACCCGAAAAGCATGAAAGATATTCTTGGTAAACGACTCCCGAAATTTACGGCGGAGGAATCGAATTCACTGAAAGGATCATTTGATTACCTTGGCCTCAACTACTACACCAGCAGATATGCTTCCGATTACGTTGGATCTCCTCCATCACGTCCATCCTACATGACTGATCCAAATGTCAACTTGACAAGTAATTTTTGACCTAGCTAATTAATTAATTAATTCTCAATCTTTAGCTAATTCATTGTTCTTCATCTCTAATATCTTAAATCTTCAATTAATTTCCAATCCAATGCAGGCCAACGTGATGGGAAACTTATTGGCACACCGGTGAGGATGGGGCAGAGATTTATCGTCTTCGACGTATTTCTCTTACAACAAAATTTAATAATTCTTTGAAAACTAATTTTTGTTTTTTTGTTTGTTTGCAGACGATTGCATTTTGGTTATATGTATACCCAGAGGGATTTAAAGACCTATTGCTACACATAAAAGACAAGTACAACAATCCCATCGTCTACATTACTGAAAATGGCAAGTGATTTTTAGGGTTTCATAGGCAAAATTGATTTCAAAATGTTTTTTTTTGTTCTTTGGCAAGTAGGGATTTTGACTTTCATTTTGTTATTTTTTGTAGGGGTTCCTGATAATGGTAAACTCCCCTTCAAGGCGGGAGAGGCACCATATGATATGTTTAGGGTTCAGGCCCTTCAAGGACATATTTCCAACTTAAATATGGCAATCAAGTAATTGATTAGTAAATCTATTTTGCATATTACAAACAAAACCTTCAATGGAGTAACTTTTAACATTTCTTAAATGTTGGTTTATTTGTTTGAAAATTTTGACAGGGAAGGGGCCAATGTGAAGGGGTACATGGCGTGGTCTTTAATTGACAGCTACGAGTGGCAAGCGGGTTATACATTTCGTTTCGGTTTGTACTATGTCGACTTTAAAAATCCCTCGATACGATTCCCGAAACTGTCAGCTCTTTGGTACAAGGAATTTCTTGCTCATTGATTAGTGTTACAAATCAGTATCGAATCATGATTGTAACAATGAGGCCCATATACTGAAAAGTAGATATCCGAAGGTGCAATTGTACCGGTAGTCTGGTACTTATGCTACTAATAATGTATGAGACCTCATAGAAGCTTTGTGGTTCAAACTTAAATTTCAATAGGGAACATAGAGATGGATGATATCAAATCGTTTTGAAGTTCTGAATTATGAGTAATCAAATTTGGATAAGATGAAATATAGAGGAGGTAGATTGCTACGAATAAATATTTGATGTTTCTAGTCACTTACATAGCAATTCTCACTAATGACAATAAGTTACAAACAAAATTTCTTAATCCAAACGACGACGAATCTCTAGCCAACAACTTGGCTCATTTGAAGCAACTAGCCTCAATCACTGAATGAATTTGGCACCATTGATTTGGTTAAGGAAATGAATTATAATATGTGGGTTTAAATCCAATAAGTTTTTTTTGTGTGGAATTAAGTCCAATAAGTTAATCATGAGATTACAAACTCCACCATAATTATTACCAACATACACTCTCATAGTTGCACTAATTAAAAGAAAAGAGTGCTTTTTTGAATTAATTAGAGAGCTTAATCTTGCCAATGAGCATGAACGCCTTGTAAACAATCGGCCGGACCAAACCCGCCCCGCCCCACGCAACCTCCATCTCCTTCACAACATTCTCCGGCAGCAGCTCCACTCCTTTATCCCTCGCCGTAATCACCGCCGACCACGACTGCACCATCCTCACCATTCCTTCGAACGACAGCTCCTTCGGTATCTCCAGCTCCACCGGCCGCCCTTCCCCGCCCGACACCGACCCGGACCCGGACCCAACCGGGTCGAACGGAAACGGCAGGTTCCTGTACCCATCAAACACGTGGCGGATACTCGGGTGCCAAAACGGCAGCGTAGTGTCGTGGAACTTCTTGAACACGCCGTCAAACTCCGGGCAGACCACGATGTCGTTGTAGCACCACACGGCGATGACCCCGCCGGGCTTCCGCAGCAGCCGGCCCACCACGGCGTAGAACCTCGGGAGGTCGAACCAGTGAACCGCCTGCGCGACGGTGACCAGATCGACGGAGTTCTCCTCCCCGCCGACGAGGGAGACGAGGTCGTCGTCGGGGAGAGACGGCGGAGTGTGGAGGTAGCGGATCTTCGGGTGCGGGATTGCGCGGCGGAGCTGGGGCTCGCTTGCGTCGGTTCCGATAACTTGGTCGTAATGCTCCGCCACCTGAATCAATTAATCGAAACCTAATTAGGCGGCAGAAAGAAATTGAAACAGATCTGGAATTGGAAATTGAAGGGGAAAGGAAGGGAAACCCCAATAGCGGCCTGGCCGTTGCCGGTGCCGACGTCCCAAGCGAGAGAGTGGCGGAGGGAGTGGGAAGCGAGGTCGGAGTACCATTCCGGCGGGTAAGTGGGTCGGGCGTCGAGGTACAGATCCGATTGCTTGTCGAATAGGCCTGCCATTTTTTTCCTCCCTTTCTCCTCTGCCGGCCGATTTGATTCACCTACCACTACAACTACCACCCACCTTCATTTGCTTGCTTCTCGATGAATAAATAATTCTCAAGATTACATCATGGGTTGTTTTGTTTATTCAGTTGCTTTCTGTGGCTTGTAATGTTGGCTTTCGTTTACAAGGGAAAGTTGATCGACCGGATCTCCGGCCAAGGTTTGGTGAGTTTGCATCATTGGTTACATCATTCACAGCTGTTGGCTGTTTACTTCAAAACTGTCTTACTTCCCAGCCATGGATACTTAGCTTTGTTTCCATCAATTTGGAAATGACCTTTTCGTGTCAACCAATCTTTCCACTTTCCATCTGTGCTGACGAGTCACGAATATTCAGCAATGGCTACGGAAATGCGAGAGACTTGGCATTGAGAACACTAGCGCAGGCCCAATAGTTATTTCAGGTTCTCAAAGCCCATTGAAGCAGGCCCAATAGTTATAACAGTAATTAAAAAAATGTTTCAAGTTTAAATTTCTTCTATCTTCTATGAAGATGGTTGAAATTAAATTAATACGACTCATGCAAGGGAATATCAACTCATGCTAAACTTAATGATAGAAAATTGTAAGTTTTCCAAAATGACTGATATTATTTATTTACCATCAAGAATATCCATCATAACTGCAGAATCTTCATCGTCAACAGATGCTTCTTTTTAAACATTTTTCTAAGCAAATTAAAAAACAAAACATCACCAGTTTGATATCATTTTCATGAAATTTTTTTTATCTCATTTTAGTCACAATTTTCGTTGGGTATCATTGATTATCTTCAAAACTGTTAGATCAGTTATATGGAATTTGTGATGTTGTAATAAAAAATTTCCACTTCAAATCCATCCCATTTTTTCAATATTATATTCCTTCATTTGATAAGATAAGGCGGAGATAACGTATCATGATTCCGTTATACATAAATATTCACATATTGTCCATCAACTAATTTTTCGACCTGATCTTTTTTAATAGCTTTTCAACATTAACTTTATATGTCCAACCTTGGAGACAACAAATTAACTCATATTTGGTTGTATATCCACAGCTCAAGTTTGGATCCTAAATATAAAAAATGTTAGTAATTGATTGGGTAGTATCTACCATTCGAGTTGGATCCTAAATATGAAAAGTGTTACTAATTGAGATTCATTATTTAGAAAAACAATTTAAGCTTTGGTGATGATTATTTTTGAATTAATTAAATTTCACATACTAAGAATGAGAAAGAAGAGGGACTATCATCTAACAATTATTTTTTTTGATGTTGCTAGTCGGTTCTCACAAAAGAACTTATTCAAGTTTTCTTCCATTTGTGTGTATAGGTTCTTCCAACTTAGTCTTGAACAAAAATAAAAATAGATTCAAATTGATATTTATCTTTTCTGAATACTTCTGCTTCAATTAATTTGTAATGTAGTAGTAGGGATATTGAATAATCTTTTCTCGAGCAATCATAGGAGCTTGATCTCATTTTTTTCAAAAAAGTAATCAAAATAAAATAATTTCAGATTCATTTTTAAATTTCAACACAATAAGAAAGATATTTTTAATGTCGTGAGTACCTTCAGTGAATTTCAATCACTTTGGGAAAATTAAGATTAGGTAGCACTAAGGTAGCTCCAATTTAAGTGAATAACTTTTCATCATTAAAGTTGGCCAATATATCACGAATAGATGGTCATTAACATCTTAAGTACTAAACTAATAAAGTAAGAAATGTTTCCCTACTTTAATGTTCAAGAGACAGAGAGGAATGAAATGGTCAAAATAAACATAGAATTAATATCCTTAGTAAGAATTATATCTATCTATAAAATACTTAAAGCACTTTAAGAAAAACCCCATTAACACGTCAGCCTTGAGAGGCTCTCCGCAAGTTTCGGTTTTTTTCATTTTAAATTTTTTTCCTTTACCTCCGACAGTTAACCGCCAGCTATTTTTTGGCCTTCTTATTACTTCATTAACACCGTTTCACTCCTATTAAAATATAGATTCATATATATTTTTAATAACCGAGAATGGCTTCTAATCTTTTTTTTTTTACTGTTTCTATTTGGAGAACGGACTCAATTTTCTTAAAATGAGTTTTTTTTTTCAATTTACATTAGGACTGTATATATTTTATTTTATGTTAGAAGGGCGGAAGGAAAGACTTGAACCCTCAATATTCAATTTAAAAAAAAAAAAATTTAATCATGCTTTTCAAAATGACATCCACCGTAAAAAAAACATCAAAATTTGAGTGGTACAAAGTGATACATGATTGGTATGAACAAAATTTTAAAATACATCAAAAAATTGAATATCATTTTGTAGATCACAATGCACCCATTATATTTATACAAAATAAAAAACAAAAAATAACGAGCCAAATGAAAAATTTCTTCAATCAATGATCAAGCATTTTTACTAAGAATTTTTCAGATATCAGAAATTTGAACAACAATAAATTTGGATTTCTTTGGATTCATGGATAGAGATTATAAATTTGGATTTATAATTTTGAATTTGAAACGGTTAACATAAAATCCTATGATGGACATCATAACCTTCCACACCATGAGTTACCATTTCATAATTACAAAATCAGAAGCGTGCAGAGTAAATATTGGAAATTTTCATATTAAGCAAATCCCAATTTGAATTCAAAATTGAACCAATATAATCATTATCCCTCTATCCATGTTAGAATGTTCTATATAGAAATATGTGTTGCTTAAAATAAGGATAGCAATTATTGAATGAGGGATTCCGATTTTGGTTAAGAAATTCATCAAAATAGTTCCCAACTTCCCGGCCAACAGGCCGGGTACAAAGCTAGAATCAAAGAAATGAAACTTTTGGCCGTCACATCATTGTAAATTCAAGTAGCAACAAACAAATGAAAAGCTCCCAAGTACTCGGCACATTCAGTTATGCTCATAGTCATCACACAACAACGATACTTTAATTATATTACGAAACTTTAGGTTTTTCATCATACTCATGTTTGTGAAGTACAACGTTGGTCCCAAATGACTATGTTATGATGTGTTAACCATTGTAAATTTAAATAATCTACATCCAAACTATTGTCTGCCAAGAGTATATATGGTAATTTCAAAACATCAACAGAAAATGGAGACACATATAATCAGTATAATGATAAGGATAATAAACGACCCATCAAATACCCGTGGACGACAAAAAAAAGGGAAAGTGGATGGCACAACCAACCCTGAACAACAGTTATCCCGGCCAAAGGCCGGGCAAGAAGCTAGTTGAATTGAGTAACTTTTCTACTTCATAAAGTTATTTTCACAACACATCTCTTGTAGTCGAATTGAAACTTAGAACTTAATATAACCATGCAATTTTAAAGTAAAAATTATACTTGAAAGTTGGTATTCCCAGTAACGTTTCTACTTCATAGTGTTATCACAACAAATCTCTTGTATCTAAGTGAAAGTTTGAACTTAAATAAAACCATGCAATCTTATAATAAAAAATTATACTTGTAAGATGGTATTCCCATGTGGTTAGACATCGATAGTTTGAACTTCAAAAACAATTCTTTAAAATTGATAACTCTCTTTTTTGTATTATTATAGAATTGTCTCTTTATTTTATGTTTGGTTGGTCTTTCACATATTAAACACGGATAACACACCTTTAATACACGTGTATTTTAAGTAATTAAATTGATAATATATTAATTTTATATTTAGTTGTACTTATGAATTCCTAAACTTTAGTGGGCTGCGGAAAAACAAAGTAAAAGCCCCTCCCAGTAGGTCATGCACCACAAATTAAGAACCGAAAAGACGCTTAACTCCTCCCTTGCTTTGCGGGGAGACCAGGAAAAATCAAAAGGAGTAGGTGCTCACCGAGAACGTACTTATATGTATGGGAGGAGGACGGGAATGGATCAGGTGAGTAACCTTATGGTGAGTAACCATGAGTAACCCGTCCACATCAGCATGACATCAGCATCCTCTCTCTCATAGAAAGCCTTTAATTTTTCATTCTTTAATCTTTGACGGACGATTTCTCGCTCATTTTAAGTCGAAATTTAATTTTTTTTGCATAGTTAGATCAGATTAATTGTGCTCTTCAAAATGATATCCACTTTAATATATTTTCCGAACAAAAAAAATTGAGCCGTTTTTTACCAGCCTATACCATATGGTATTGACTGGTATTGAAATAAAAACATATCTATGTTTTGAAAAACGTACCATGGTGGTATGAACAAACCAATACTGTAGGATTGTTGAATACATGATAGTAGAAGTATATTAATTGTAATTTACGACTTTTAACATTGTATACCACACAATACCACCCCGTACCAGGGTGGTATTGTATGATATTGTGTGCTATTTTTTGGTCCTATAATTTGTTCACCCAGAAATTTGTAGATCCAATAGATCATGATGAACTCGTCCCTTCTGTGCAAACGTTTTCAAAAACGAATTAAAAACGAAGAAGATACCATACAATACCACCCCGTACCAGGGTGGTATTGTATGGTATTGTGTGGTATTTTTTGGTCCTGTAATTTGTTCACCAAGAAATTTGTACATCCAGTAGATCATGATGAACTCATCCCTGCTGTGCAAACGTTTTCAAAAACGAATTAAAAACGAAGAAGATACCATATGGTATGCAGTTGGTACCGAGAGGCCAGAATTTTTTTTCCTAAAAAAATATTGAAAATTGATCTCATTTTGTAGAGCACGGTAAACTCGTTCCATCTGTGCAAAAAAAATTAAAATCCGAGTTAAAACGAAAAAGATATGAGTCAATTAAGAAAGCAAGTGAAAATAAAAATAGTCTTTAATTCTCCATCCTTAGATCTGGATTTTCTAAATGAAGGGTCCAGATTTGGTTATTGATAGGTGCATAACCATGGGTTATGCACCCTATCTTGAGCCGAGGAGGACTCATCCATCGTAAATTGGTCTCGGGTAGATGCCACATTTGGTCACTGAGATTAATAAATCATGTCATGTTTAGTTAGTAGAAATAATTAATATCAATTTTGGTCACTCGAATTACTGAAACATGTCACATTTAGTCACTCTCCCGTTAGTTTCCGTCCACTAAATGTGACATGTTTCAGTAATTCGAGTGACATTCATAAAAAAAGAAGGTAATTCGAGTGACCGGAGTTGGACGGAGGCTAACGGGAGAGTGACTAAATGTGACCTATTTCAGTAATTCAAGTGACCAAAATTGATTAATTTTTTCTAGTGACTAACTATGACATGATTTAGTAA